GGGATTCGGACAGCTTGCACTGGGAATCGGAATCTAAAGCGTGGCAGCCCAGGTTCGATAGATTTGCACGTGTTTTCTGGGCATGTGTGTTTGCACCGGGAGCTTCGCTCACGTTTTTGTGCACCGAAGCAAAACTTTCGTGCATTCCTAGGCTGTAGGTTTGGGGTCTTTGGAACAGGAAAATGCTGGCTGGACCACTTTTTCTGTCCAAATGTGAGTTAGATTCATCTTAAAGCAGCAAGACCCAAAGCGTTCACACTGGGTCGCTCCGCCGTGTGCAGTATGGGGATGTGAGCGGTGGCCTACCTCGCCAGAATGTTGTTACACCTTTCTCTTGTTGTTTCTACGCACCTTCCCAGGTATGCCAAGCTGAACAAGGTCCCCACGAGTCCTGGGGTCTCCGTGCCTGACAAGCACTTCCTGGGCCAGCCAACCAAGCAGGTGGCCCCCCGGATGCCGGGGGGCACCACCGTGCTCCCCCCAGGCACTTCCCCTGCGACCTCCCTCGGCACGGCGACCCGTGGAGCCGGGACACAAGTCAACACCATCCACCTCGGCGTCATCACTCACTCGAGGAGAGGTGAGCGGCCGAGCGGCACTTCCGGGGCTGGCGGGGACTGGCGAAGATGGGGCGATGGCTTGGGAAGCCGCAGTAGTCCCCCAAGCGCACGGGGCGTGTTCTCGGAACTCCCCGCGGCAGTGTTGCGCAGTGGTCAGGGCACGGGAGCCGGGGAGGAGTTCGGCAGCGAAGCCCGCGGGGTGACTTTGGGCCGGTCGTGGCCCCTCGGGAATCGTCCTGCATCTTTCCAAGCCCCTCTTTCCTTTCGGCGATCCCGGTGTGCAGGTGGCAGCTGGCTGGCCCTGCTGGGAGCGGTCCTGTTTGTGGTGCCGGTGCTGTTTGCCGGCCTGGTGATCCTGCGGCGGAGGCGAGCCTGCGACAAGTGGATCGTCCCCCACAAAGCCAAGAGTGAGCCCCCTTCCCGGCAGAGCAGCCCACGGCCGGCCTTTCCGAGCGCCGCGTGGGGCTGTAGCCGACGTTGCTCTAGCTGTGGGCCTGCCCGATTTCCACAGGCCTACTCTGAGTAAGGGCTAACGTGGGGCATGGCCCGTGGCCGCCTCACATGGGGTGATGCCGAGTTAGCCGAGGGCACTCTGGAGGAACCGGCGATCCGGTGACTCCCTTGCCAGGGAATGTTCCCATGACCCCAAAGGCTACCACCTGCGAGGGCTTAAAAGTGGATTTGACAAATCGATGCTGGGGAGGGCTCTCTGAGGCTACTAGTCCTCATGGAGGAATGCTGCCTGCACTCTCAGAGGCAGTGTGCCTATGTATACCAGTTACTGGGGAACATGGGCACAGGCGTGCACCGGCCTTGTTTCTGGACTCCGTATGGGCAGCAGGAGGGCCCCCCCCCGAGATCACTCGCTATGTGCTGGTATACATTGTGCCAGCAGGTGGCGCTCTTCTCCTTGCATTGGCAAATCGATGCGCCCCCCCCCCATCGAAGGAGGCGCCCCCAGACGTGGTCAGACAGGGAGAAGCCCCCGGCTTTGGCGTGGAGGGACTCCTCTGTCTCAGCACCCCCGGAGCGGAGCCCCTAAAGCGCAGCGGATCTGTTCTGCTGTCTGCTTCGTCCGACGAGGGCAGAGCCGGCCAGAAATGGATCCAGGGTGGCTGGGTTTTGGGGGGGGGGGTACTCAAATGGCCCGGCTGGAGAAGCCGGGCGGCACCGAGGCTCCTGCCACGATACGTGTGCTGGTTTTGTGAGGGATTATGGGAACAGGTTGCAGTGGCCTCCGCGCACCTGCTGGGCTCCCCAGCCCCGGAAAGGGGGCTCTAACCCCTCTCCCTCTTTCTCTCCCCCCCCCCGCCCCCTTGCAGTCTCCAGCCAGGCCAAGATATGTGCAGTAAGTATCATGACCCCCCTCCCAGACTTGGGACTGAGACAGGGGGCTCCCCCCGACCTTCCCTCTGGCTGGTTGTGGTGCTTGGAGGCAGTGAGCCTCCGTCGGGGCAGCGCTCAGCACCACGGACAGCTCACACGAGGCTCGGGGGAACGGCTGCAGCGGGTACGGGGCCCTGCCGGCACAGGGGGGCCCGCTGCTGGAACGAGCCGTGGGGGGCTGGGGGCAGTGGGGCAGATGCAGCGGGGTGGCAGGCCTGGGGATGCCGGGGGGCGGTTGTCTGTGGTGCTGGGGGCCGGCCGGGGCCGGGGGACCTTCCCTGCCTCGGCCCCCTGCGGGGCGGGACCCCTCGCTGACGGCCGCGCTCCTTCCTGTCTTTCCAGAAGAAGCGGGAGGCCCTGGCCATGGCCAAGGACAGTGCCGGGGAGGGGAAGCCCCTCAGGGAAGCCTCTGCCGACGACGGACGCCCCCCCGAAGTGGAGGGTGCGCCCAGCCCAGAGCCCGACGGGGCTGAGCTGGCCCAGGTGGCTGCCTCGCTGCCTCCGGAACCGCCTCCGCCAGGCCACGGAAATAACCACATTGGTGAGTCCTTGACGCCCCACGGGGGGGAGAAGCGGCCCGGAGGTCGCTGGAGGCCAGGGGGTGCTGGGGGGGCCCAGCTGTGTCTCTTCATAGCCCCTCCACCTGCCGCTGAGGGCTGAAATAGGCAGGCATGCCTTGGCTTCTTTTCCGTGACTCCCCGGGCAGTCGCGAGGGCAGAGCTCCACTTCCTCAGAATGGCAGCTTGCGCTCCCTTTTGAATTCAACTCACCAAGGTGCTAGTCCTCAAGAAGACGAATTCATGCTCAGAACTCTGTGCATCTGTGCCTCCTGAGCATTTCGAAAGCCCCAAGCAGGTAACTGGGCAAGTTGCTCAGTGCTGGGGAGCCACGTCTGTGACTTCCCCAAATGTGCACCCACGGCCAACATAGAAATACCTTTTGCAGCGTTCCCACTTTGCAAATTTTATCTGGGCCCCCGAATGCAGTTCTGCCTGGCAACTTTGATTTGATTTTGGGCAAGGGAGACTCCGCACCATGTGCTTACGCTCATTTGTATGCAGGGGGGAATTGCATGCATCTGTGAACAGTTCCCCTGAACATGCACAGAGTTCTCATTCCTCTGAGGCGTTCCTTTGGTTGGGCCACGCAATGCAAGGTTACGGGGTGGGGGGAGAAAAATAGTAACAACAGCAGAATGAATCGAATAGAATCATTTTGGAAGACGTGTACAGAAAATGGGAAAGTGAAAAGGACTGAAATCGGTTGAATATGGGCTCAGATCGGGTGAGGGATTGGGAAGGATTTATACACATTAAAAGGACTAATATAGGCCTCTTTTATTTTGCTTTCACCTCTGCTCTTTTTGGAAGTGCAATGCAAATTTAATAAATAGAAACATAGAAAATAGAGCGAGTCAGAAGGGATCTCCCGGGCCATCTAGTCTGACCCCCAGCTCCAGCCGGCTCCATTCATGACATGCCCACCACGTGCACGTCCAGCCTGTCCTTGAACACCCACACCGATGGGGCCCCAATGACCTCCCGTGGAAGCCCGTTCTGCACCCTCAGGGTCCTGACTGTCAGGAAGTGCTTCCTGGCATCCAAATGGAACCTGGGTTCCCTGAGCTTTGCTCCATTGCAGCGTGTCCTGCCTTCCTCTTCAGGGGAGAACAGGTCTCTCCCCACCTCCGTGGGACCTCACTCCCTCGCATACCTGTATGTCGCCAACATATCCCCTCTGAGTCGCCTCTTCTCCAGGCTGAAGAGACCCAGTTCCCCCAGTCTCACCTCATACGGCTTCCCCTGCAAACCGGCCATCAACTTTGTGGCCCTTTGCTGCACTGACTCCAACCTGGCTATATCCTTTCTGCAATGAGGGGCCCAAAACTGAGCACAATACTCCAGTTGCAGGCGCACCAGAGTCGTGTAGAGTGGTAGTAACACCTCTCTTGATCCAGAAGCCATGCTTCTGGCTACGCAACCAAGGGTGGCGTTTGCCCTCTTGGCCACCACATCACACGGCTGACTCATGTTCAGCCTGCAGTTGACCAGCACCCCGAGGTCCCTTTCACAGGTGCTGCTCTCCAGCCACTTGTCCCCTGACCTGTACTTATGGCACCCATTCCTATGCCCCAAGTGCAAGACCTTGCACTTATCCACATTGAACGCCATCCTGTTGTCTCCTGCCCACTTCCATAGTCTGTCCAGATCCTCTTGGATCTGGAGTACCTGCTCCTCAGTTGTGGCCACTGCTCCAGTTTTAGTGTCGTCTGCGAATTTGATCAGCAGACTGTTCACCCCTTCTTCCATGTCGTTAATGAAAAGATGAAACAGGACCGGCCCCAGGACAGAGCCCTGGGGGACCCCGCTTGTCACTGGCCGTCATCCTGATGATTCCCCACTAATGGTTACCCTCTGCTTTCGGTCAGTCAACCCTGCCCTAATCCACCAGACAGTGCTTTGGTGTATCCCAAAACTCCTCAGTTTCTCCATTATAAATAATTATAATGTTGTTGTGTTGCCTCTTTCTTTCCCCAGAAAAGGTCTACATCATGAAAGCTGAAACGGTGATTGTGGGTTCTGTTTTGGAAGCGCCTTCGGGGAAGTCTTGTCCCACGAGGGATGAGGACGGGGGTTCGGTGTCTGGCGAGGGTGCCAAAGAGACGGAACCGGCCATGCGGTACCCGGAGCAGGAAACGGAGCGCTGCCCGGGAAGCGACTTCACGACTCCCGTAGAGGAAGAGTGGGAATTCCATCTTTCCGGTGAAAAGACCTTGGCGATCTAAATGGAGGTATTTACCGCAGAGGGTAAAACGGGTCTACCTTTCTGGTGCTTTTAGCATCCAACGTGCTTTACAAATGTAAATGTAAAGCGCTTTACAAATGTGATTGAGGTTTCTTCTCGCCACAACGCCTTGGAGAAAATGTCACGGAGGCAACATTGGAGGAGGAAAGGATCCGTCTAGTCCAGATTTAGAAGTTGGAGTTTATCGTGTCAGCTTCTCCCAGAAGCCCTTTGATAAGAAGCCCTTAGTTCATCATGGGTTGATCGTTAGAGGACTGAGGACTTGGGCGACCGCGGCTGGTACTAGGGATGGTACCAATTTGCACGTCTGGACCAAACAGGGGCATAGATACAGACTTTGGCCAAAGTCCCCATATTTCTGAGCCCGCCGTGTGATTTATGGACAGAAACCCCCTGTCGTCGCAGCCGATTCTTTACAGCTAAAACCAAAAGGAATTTTGTGGGGAATCGCAGAGCAGATTCCCTGAGTTCAAAACATTTGCGCACAAACACAATAAGTGCAATGCTGGCCTGACTTATAAGGGACTGCATTTTAATATTTCATTATACTGAATTTTCTTTGCTCAACATTCCCAGCTGGAAGAGTTCGGCAATCCAGCAAAGCTAGATCAAAGAGAAGCCTTGCCGCTAAGGAACTGCTGGCAAATTCAGCTCTTCGCAACCTCGTGCCTTCCAAATAAGCTGGACTACAACTTCCATGCTGCTTGGGGATAATGGTGGTTGCATTCCAACGCCTTTTGGAAGGCATCAGCTTCAGAAAGGCTGCCGAGCACGTCAGAGGCATTCACAAGAGCAGATGTTTCCACGTTTCTCTGGGTATCGGATCTCAAGAAGGCCGCTTGAGCACGGCTGAGATTCGACAGGGTGCTTCTGCTTCGACTCTGATTAAATGTGTGTTGAATTTTCATCGCCGCTCTGCCCGAGTGGAAGGAACGGTCTAACGCCGTCAGACCCGGTACAGCTCCGAAAATGCTGTCTGGCCTGGACCCATTTTAGCGCCCTTCACCTCCTCACCTGGAAACCCTAAGCCACCTCTCTTAAGGTCTGTTTGCCGTTTAGAAAACACTGTTTGGTCTCGCAGGCGAATTGCCCAGGTGGTGATCTTATCAGGAATCATAAAACCCTGTAGCCGGTGAAGTTATTGATTAACCTCGATCCCCCAACTTGTAAAACACACACACACACACACACACACAGAACAACGTCACTGTTTTGCCCAGTGGGTTGGATGCTTGGAAGAGCAAACAAAAGAATCACACTGTGTTCGTGGGACAAAGCGCTTTTATATAAAGGGGCTGCCGGCTCCATGAAGGCAGCTTCTGCGGGACTGACCAGCATCGCCCGGATGCCCGCGCTTTCCCCATGGAGCCGTCCGGGGATGGTTTACGCACTGAGAAGGAGATGGAAACCGGCGAGACGGGGCGGCTCGGAGCGGCAGAGGAAAACTCGGCACAGCCAGAGACCTCCGAGGGCCCAGCTGGGCAAGGGGAGAGTGTTCCCGCCTCGTCCGCAGGAGAGTCTCTGCCCGCCGTGGAGGGGCCAACGGAGGATGCTGCAGACCCTGTGCCGGCTGCCCCTTTGCAACCACCCACGCCGGGCTCCACGACACCTTCAGAAACGCCGCCGGCGGAGCCGCCCGATCAGCCTGGCCTCTCCAGGGCCTCGCTGGCCGAGCCAGACTGCCTCATCTGCTTCCACCGGTACAGCCCGCAGCGGCCGCCCAAGCTCCTGGCTTGCCAGCACGCCTTCTGTGCCGTCTGCCTGAAGCAGCTCCTGCGGCGCGAGGACCGTGCCTGGCGCATCGGCTGCCCGCTCTGCCGCAAGGCCACCGTGGTCTTCGGGGGGCTCGTCTGCAGCCTCCGCGACAGGGAGGGCCCGGGGGAGCGGCTGCGGGGCCCCGGCCCGGGGGCCGAGGGGCCCTGCCCGGCCACGGGGGCCGGCCCACCCCAGGCCGCCGCGGCCGGCCGAGACGGAGCCGACGCAGGGGCCAACCGGGCCGCGGCCAAGCGGCTGCTGCTGCTGCTGCTGCTGGTGGCCCTGCTCACACTGCTGCTGCTGCCCTTCCTGTACGCGGGGCTGCTGAAGTGGGCCCTCTGGTCCGTGGCCGCCCTGGGGCTCCTCCTGTCTGTGGTGCTGAGCTGCAACCCCGGCCGGAGCTGCGCCCACCAGCCGTGGCCCCCCTGGCGGAGCAAGGCAGGCCAGGGCGCCTCCGCTGCCTGAGAAGCCGCACGGCCCCCCTCCGTCGCGGGCCCCTGCGGCTGCAAGGGGGGTCCCTCCTGCTCCCCCACCCGGCCTGGTTCCCGAGCGGAGCCCTCATCAGCCGCTGCGGGACGGCCCCGTCCAGGCCCGCGTGGCGGTCGGCGGCCCCGGCCCGTTTCTGGACACGGAGGGCAGCCACGGCGGAAGCACCCCAGGAGAGGGCGTGCCGTGCGGCTCCACCGAAGGGCGTGTCGCTGTGCAGACCGTTTGCGCCGCCTGATTAAATGTGCACGGAGGCCGGTTCGGAAGCGCCTGAGATGGCGGCGGCGGGAGAAGCACATCCCACCTCAGCACGGTGCCAGAAACAGTCGCTGGGGAGCTGGCCCCCCGTCGCCTTTCGGGCAGCCCTCTCGTAGCAGAATCGGCAGGAGAGGCCTGCAGGAAGCAGCGGCTTCCGAGAGAGGAGGGCGCTCTGCGAAAGAGGACACCCGGCCACTGGGAGGGAAGGGGGCTGCTCCTCGGCACAAATGACTTCTATAAGTGTGCGGTGCGCTTCTTTGCACACACTGAATATGGGGAAATGTCGCAGTTCTCTAGGAACAGCCAACGCTACCAGCTCCCAACGGCTTGTTTAGTGACGTGCGGGCCCAGAGGGTCACTTCCGCAGCCGTCCCCTGTCTCGGAGCATCCCACTGCTCCAAGATGCAGATGTCTCAGATCCAGCCTGGAAAGAGCAGGCAGTGGTTCTGATGCCTAAATCAAACCTCCATATTTCAGTGCAGTGTACCTGTGAATACCAGATGCTGGCAGTTGTATGAAAGAGAACAGTGGACAAGCTGGACTTTGAGTCGGGTCCAGAAGGGCTCGGTCTCTTTCTGAAGTCTCGGGATCCAGAGCTAAAACCCGTTTGGAGGTTTAAAATACCTCCTGAGGATAATGGAACATAATATGGGCTGGTTGCTCCTTCACTCTCTGGTTGCACTCACGGTCAGGACGGATTTAAAAAACGTGCTTCTGAGCGCACATCTGAATATATTGCGGGGGGGGGGGGCGTTCTTCTATGCTTTGAAATTTTTGTGACTATGAGGAGCAGAAGGAATCACTTAACAGAAGGTGTAGTACGGCTTTGCTCTGGAATCATTTACGGCAGAGTACAAAAGGGCTTTAATCTGGACTTGTTTAATACAGAGTATAAGAGGACCGGTTTGTCTGTGTTATGTTTTTGCAAAGATCTCAAGGAACCAACTGTTATTCTCGTATGTTTGTAAGAAGCACAGTCAGGCTATTCCTGCCATTAGAGCAGTATGAAACACTCGCATGCATTGTTCCAAGAGCATTTTATGTATATATTTAACAGGTTTTTAGCTGTGCCAAATTTATATAAAGATAATTCCTTTAAAGTTTTTGCCTTTTGCTTCCCCAAATTTGTACTTGCTTTCCAAATATGCCGTGTGCCCAGGGCCAGTGGGTGACCTCTGATGTATAAAAATACCGGTTGTAGCTTCCTGACCATAACTCACCCTTTGGAGAGACGTTGTCACCTTTTAGAAAGGTTTTTTAAAAAGTAGAAAAAGCAGGAACCTTCCAGGCGAAACTGGCTAAATTTGGCCCAGGGCCAGTAGTTACTCACCCTTGTCAAACAGCAGTAACTGAAGCCGTTTCTGTACGTGTAAGCATGATCGAGTGTTAATTAACGTGTCCGGAAGGGCTTCCCACGTTGGCTCCTAGGAGCTAAGTCCCCGTGAGCAGGGCAGGGCTGTCCGAGCTCACTTTTTCCGGCCAGTTGCTAACCTTTGGAGTCCTGTGCCCATGGACCCCAAAGTCAGCCCCGAAGTCCTCACCTCCCTTGGACGTGTCTTTTCAGGTTTGCAGCCTCGACGGACTTCGGGAGGAGTAAACGCCCTCCGGAGTCTTGCTGGCATTTCCTGGACCCCCGAATGGCTGCTGATTGCCTGGAGCCCTCCCACCGGTGTGGGGAAGCTTTGCTTGGCAATGCTGAGCCAGCACCCCAGAAGGAGACTTTGCCCGGCTCAGGGGGAGGTTCAAGGGGTTCGAGGCCCGAGCAGATGGAGTTTCGTGGGGATTGCTTCAAACGCCCTTAAGCCGTCACGCTTCTGCACTTTCCGGAGGGCTCCCTATCTGTGGAGACTTTTATTTTGAGCTTCACAGGAGCTATCCTTCGTTCTGAACCCCAACATGGGATGGCGCCTCCTCCACCACAACACGGCAGAGCTCAGTTTGCCCCCTCCACCACCCCAATAAATCAAGCAAATGGCTTCCAATCACACCGAGACTGGGTCTGTGCCGTACGGGGAAGCAAGGCGGTGGCCTTTGGCAAGCGGAGAGGCTGATGGCGGCTGGAGTGGGGGGGGGGCAAGCCAGCAGAGGTGGGCTCACCCCTTCTCTCGCTCCTTGCCCCGCTTGCCCTCTCCTGCACCATGTGCCGAAAGCGGCCAGGGACACACGAGCCGCTCCTTCAAATAAACTGGAAGCTTGCTCGAAAAGGTGGCTGGGGAGAGGACTCTCCAGGGCAGCACCAAAGCCGGGCCACTTCACCCCCTTTCCCCACATGGCAGCCAGCGCTTCAAGCTAAAACAGGCCAAGGGTTTGGGCATTTTGGACACCCCTCGTTCGCCCACAGTCCTCTTCCTTCTGGCTTCGGGACGCAGCCCTGCGCGCTTCTCCGAGGTGCAGTTTGGCCCTCGGCGGAAGGCGGCTCGGCACCGGGAGACGCGGCGAAGCGAAGCGGATGCCCCGTGCGGGAAGGTGGGTGGGTGTCCCTGCGGGGGAGCGTTGTTCCGGCGGAGGAGATGCGCCCGAGAGGAGATGAGCAAGACTTCCAAGGCAGGGAGGGAACAGATCTTTGGCACGATCCACCCGGGTACAACGGGACGCATGCTTCCTCCCACGCTCAGCGGGGAGAAACGCTAAAAATAGGAGCCTCGCAGAGAGCGGCACGGGGAGAGGAACGGGGGCCCGTCTTCGCAGGCTTCACGGAGGAGCAGCCACGCCTCTCAAGCCGCCGGTCCCTGTGAACATGCGTCCAGCGGCTTGGCTCGTTCGCATGGCCGAAAGCGGCCGCCTGGGAAAGATGCCAGGTGGAAGCAAGGTGTGGGGAAGTGCCTCGCGCCAAGGCCCGGGTGCCGCAAGCATCCGAGCGAGCAGGTCCCACGGGCCGGCCTGGGGACCTTCCTCCAGCCCAAGGGGAAGGTCAGTTTCGCAGGAGGCCTCCGGCCAGCCACTTGGCCTAGCCTACCTTGCAGGGTTGATGTGAGGGTAAGACTTGGGCTCCTTGGGGGAAAAGATCTGGATGCGGCAACCAATCAAGAGCCACTGTTTGGGTGACTCTGAGCCAGCCGCAGATCGGCAGCATTACCCACCTCCCTCCCAGTGTGGCGTAGGAGTGAGAATTATTATTAACTTCTGTACTGCCCAATTATTATTATTATTAACTTCTATACTGCCCAGTAGCCAAAGCTCTTTGGCTGGGGTTCCAACAGTTCTGAACAGGATCAAATAAAATGCTGGGCTGGGTCAGGACGGGGGAGATCGGGGTTCTCGTCCCTGCATGGCCCCAAAGCTCGCTTTGGGCCCATCACGGCCTCTCAGCCTCACCTACCTTGCAGGGCTGGTGTTGGGAGGCTCAGTGGACTGGGGGGGAGCACCATAAACCGCCATGGGTTTCTTGCAAGGGGAAGAAAGAATAAATATAATGTGGGGGAAAAAGAATGATGATTAAAAATCCTAGCCATGGGAATTTTTCCTGCTGAAACTCAGCTAGGATGGTGTCTTAAATATTTAAACATATTTAAAAGAAATATGAAATATCTCTTTGGAGCCACCCGTGCCTCCAAAGAAGAGAGAATGCTTGCAGAAATTAAGCACAGAAAAGAAAACAGGACAGTTTCATTTCCTCTTTAAAAGAATACTCCGAACTAGGAAACGCCCAATCCGTGCGTATTTTTTTCTTTGGGTTTACATTGTCCCTTTGCAATCAGATCTCTTATCCAGTTTTTTCCTGGGTAAGAAAGAGTCCTCTGCAAACCCCCTGCGTTCCCCGCAGGAAAAGGGGCAGGGGGTTAATTAATGCAATAAGCCCGTCTTCAAAATCGCCACCGCTTTAATTTCCCGGGGCGAGTCAGCAGATTCGAGCCGCTACGCCATTGGCGCAGCCTCCCCCCTTCCAGCGCTGTTACGTCATCCGCTCGCCGTAATTCCATTTCAGGAATAGCGTCCGCCGCGTCGCCGGCGTTGCAGCGCGGCCTAGGCGGCGCCCCGCGAGCCTCGGACTGGAGTGAGCGCCGAGCCGGCGGAGGGTGGAGGCACGGCGGGGACGCGTCCGAGGCCGTTGCGGCCCTCCCCGACCTCGAGCACGGCCAGGTGGGCTTTGGCGCGTGGGGGCGGAGCAGAGGGAAGGCGTTTGAGAGGGGGGCGCCCTGTGGCTGGAAATTTAAACTGGGGAGGAGGGGTGCGGGGCTTCCCCTCCCCAAATGGGCGTCTTTCTGCTGCCCCTCGAACTAGCAGGGCATGGGGGGCCGTGGAGGGATGAAGAAGAGGGCTGGCAGGGAGCTTTCAGCAGGATTTCCTAATCGCATTTTGCATTTCCTAATTGCAACTTCCTCCTGCCCTCTTCTAGCACCGGTTTAGGATTTGCAGAGTGTTGGTGTAGGTTTGTATAAACCAATGTAAATAAATGTATATCCTGCTGCAAAGGGTCTGCCTTTGCTGTGTGAGTAAGGCAATGAGGTTCGCATAGATCTTTTTCCAGCTTCCAGTTTAAAGGCCAAAGTACTGAGGCTAGTCCCTGGTGATCCCGCTGCGGTTGGAACATGAGAATAGCATTCCTGGGTCAAAGCGAAATCCTTTGCAGTCCTGCATTATGTTCGCAGGGAGGCCCACCAGCTACTCGGGAAAGTCTTGCCAATTTCTCCACGTCAGTTTCACATCTTTCCTTTTTAAGAAGGATTTTAGGAATGCTAAAGCTAGCATGCTGGTTGTAAGAACTTTGGAATAGCTGTGTTGGTTCAGGTCAGAGGCTTCTCAGGGCTTTTCCCCACCTGTGGCCCTCCAGATCTCTTGTACTACAACCCCTAGTACAAGTGGGTGTTGGATAGGCGTTGTAGTGCTTGTCATCTGATGAAGGCTGCAGATGGCAAGGTGCAAAAATCTGCTTTCTGCAGACACAGAGTCTCAAAACCAGAAGTCCCTAAATCACCATAGGCGGCACTGTGAATTTTGGATTTTTAAAACCTCTTCGTTACATTTCTAGCCAGACGTGCCCTTCAAGGAGCCAAACACAGTGTGCATGATTTTCCTTCTCTCTGAAGATGTTCTCATGACGGCCTTCCAGTGCTGGGCAACGCAGAATTCCCTCCGCACAAGTCCCACCATATGTTAGCTTTAATTTAAAAAAGTTGTTTTCTTGAAAGAAATAAAATACAGAAAAAAAGAAAGAAAAATGTAAAAGAAAGATAAGAAAGCCACGAGATCTTACACAAATATAACATATAACATTCATAGCCTGTAAATTCCCAAGAAAGCCAAAAATTCTGTCTTTTATCCATCAGTACATTGTTGAAGCTCTCAAAAAAGATTATTAGAGTCCTCTAAACCAATATGTTTTCCGATCATTTTGATTCGATCATCACTCATCAACAATATTTTCTAAGCTTCCTTTTGTTCTGCATTAATTAAATTACATATAATAGAATTTCCATTTATCATTAAATTCTTTAATCGGCCTTCTGTTTACATAATTAACATAATTACATACTTAACTTTGCATCACTCCATGCGCAGCCAACTTACTTTTCCAGTCTTCCGATTTTTAAACATTCTGCAGTTTTCAATTTAGAAGGAACTGTAATTCTTGCTCATATATTAGCAGATGTTTGTTTAAAGTCCTTCATGCCTTAAGATTTAGGAGGGACACTTCAATCTCTCCTAAAGCTCTGGTGCCCCCCAGATGCTTTGGACCTCAGCTCCTATCAGCGTCAACCAGCATGGCTGATAGTCGGGAATACTGGGAATTGTAGTTCAAACGCCTTGACAGCACCAGGTGTTCAAGGGAGTGGGAAAGGGTCTTTCCCAGCTAAAGAAGTGTGCAGATACTTGCATGCTTATACACAAAGAGGTGGAAAAGGGAGTTTATTTATTTAGAATATTTATATGCCGTCCTTTTGCAGAGCCTCAGGACGGCTTACATAAATAGATAAAAATAGTAATAAAAACATAATACAAATGCATTCCAGATCCACCCTGGCTGCAGAGTTTGGAGGAAACTTGTCCTAGGAACCTCTGAAGGAATATACTTTTCCGCCATTTAGTACCACCACCGTCACAGGCTTGTTTGGTGGTGAAGTGACGGGGCCTTCTCGGTGGCTGCTCCCAGCTTGGCCCCTCTCTGCTATAGTTCAACCAGCAGGCAAAGACTCCTTTATTCAGGCCAGCCTTTGGTGCATAGACCGATCCTCTGGGTTGGAAGCGGTTTCTAGTCCCACGGTTGTATTTTTAATCTCTTTGTTTTATTATTGTTTTTGTCAAGTTTTATTTGCATTTTTTAAATAGTTCCTAGGCTTGTAACTGACCTCGAATCCATTTTTTCTTGGTAGAGATGAAGTGAAATGAATAGATAAAATAAACTTGCCAGGTTGAAATGGGGCGACTTCATGCCGAAGTAAGATGCAAAATTCTTGCCTGAATATCATTTCAAAGCTTTAAAAAATCCAGAGGAAAATAAGAGAGGAAAACAAAGACTTCTCCGGGCTCTCAAAGTCAATTCTAAGTCCTTCTGCAACCTTCTCTCTATTTGTATTTGATGGGTGTGTACACACACCAAACTGATTGTGGGTCATTTTTACTGTTGGGTGTTTGGGTTTATGTTCACAAAACGCAAAGATTGTGAACAGTCCTTCAACCTAATGTCGAGAACCAAGACGTCAACAACCAGGAGGTCATTAAAAAAAAATTTAAAGGTTGAAAATAAACAAAACCTCCCAAAGCTTGCTGAGAACTCAAGGTTAGGTTTCCAGGAAGCACAGAGGCTGACGTGAAATTGTAGATGTATTAGGGAGAATGTACCGTGGACCCCAAATGTCCCCGAGGGACCAGGAGTCGGGGCGTTCACAAGGCACCTGGATAGAAGCAAGAGAGCATGAGTGTTGCCTTGTGTTTGGACTCATCTGGTCGCCTCTTCAACTGGGGGAATCGCCTCTGGTGAGCGAGGAACGCACTGTGGGAACGTCTTTTGGCCCGAGGGCTGAATTCCATTCAGAGATGGCCCAAAAGTAAAAGGAGTGGACCAGAAATGCAAGCAAGGGACCGTTTCAAGCTTGAGGTCCTTACTGCCAAGGGCAAAATCTTTGGAGAGGCCTTTCAGCCTTTCACAGGTGGGGTGAGAGGGAACCGTGCGAAAGCGGAGGACTCTGGCCATCTCGGGGACCCTCCAGAGGCTCAGGCACCTTGAACCGAGCCCAGTAAGCGACTGGGAAAACCAGAATGGTGGACCACTGTCTGTTCCACTAGAAAACATTCAGCTGAGGGTTGTGCGTGAAACTGGAAACCCCGCGGCCGTCTCAGGGGCACGCTGAGGGTTCGCCTGGGGGCCCAAATGCCACAGGCACCGGAGGCGGAGAAGCGAGGGCTTTCCGAAGCTCTCCGAGCCCGTTCAAAGTCCCTGGGCAGCCCTCCCTCCGTTCGGATGTGATCTCACTTGGAGGAGAACCCGCGCGAGCACCGGCCACGTGGAGCCCCAAGCTGGAGGGACTCACGGTGGCCTTTCCCCTCCGAGGAGCCCCTCGCTCGCCGGATGTCATCCTCCCGCGGACTTTGGGCTGCTCGTGGCACTCAGGTGCAGTCCTTGTGGAAGGAGAGGGAGGGGGCAGCAGCGTGGCCCCCACAGGGCCCCGTTTGCGCCCTCCAAACTAGCCGGAAAACCCTCCGCACGGTCGGAATGGGGGTGCCCCCCTCCCCGCCAAGCCAGCCAGACATTTGGGGGGTGCCAGCAAAGTGAAGGAGGCCTGTCGCCTCTGACAGGCAGAGCTGTCCGTTCCTGTTCATTATTTGCAAAATGAGTTAATGCATGGGGGGAGGCAGGCTTGCGTACGTAAAAGGAAAGCGCTTTCCATGCGCCTTCGGCAGATCGCTTCTGCGTAGTTGGAGGGGAAAGAAGGTTCGGGCTGGGCTGCGAGGGCCCTGCTGCTGCACATCTGCGGCCCCTCCAGATGTGCTGGAATTGCTGCTCTCTTCATTTCCAGCCTATCCGCTAGCACACGATCTAAAAGGCATGGCAGGCGAGGAAAGAGGATAAGGAGGGGAGAGGAAAAGGTGCCTCTGAGTTTCAAAGTTCCTGTAGGCGTTCTTTCTGCCAAGGATGGGCAAAGCAAGCCCCCTGCAAACTCAGCCCCCCGAGGTGCCCCAGAAGGCCATGCCTGTCCTTTGGACTCGCCCCTTTTGCTCTCCCCACCATTGGAATGCCCCCCCCCCCAAGTTTCTCCAAGATGGCACCTGGTTTTCAGGTGGGAAGCAGGCTGGCACGAGCGCCTTGGATGGTCCGAGCAGCAGCCATCAGGCATGAAAGGCCGACTGGGGCTCCAGGCTGGGAGCAGGGTGGGGGGGGCGCTGCCTCCGATCCTGCGAGGATCCGGCTGAGCACAGTTGGTGGCTGGACGCTGGGTGGGAGGGGGCCTTTGGTCTGAAGCAGCAGGTTTTAGGATAGGTTAGACATGCCCGTGGCGGGCATGTCGTGAGTGGAGCTGGCTGAATCCGGGGGTCAGACTGGATGGCCCGGGAGGCCCCTTCTGACTCGCTCTGTTTCTGTGTTTTCCCTCTCGGGTTTATTTCTACAGCAGGCTGCCCACACTGTGAGTTCATCTGCGCAGCCCCTTCTTGCAACTCAACCGCCAAGGGTGATTGTGCTGGTGAGCACGAAGAAGGGGGGTCTTCTTGGTGGTGGCTCCATACATCTGGAATAAATTTCCACCGGGGCTTCCTCCAGAAAGATTCCAAATCTGCTGGTCTTCACTATCCTTTCCATAGTCTGTTTAGCTTTAATTCAGATTACCTGTTTTCATAGCATTAAAAAAAAACCTTGCTTGCCTATTGTTTTTTTTGCATTGTTCCAAATTGCTTTTATCTCGTCTGTCACCATCACAGGGTCCCGCAAGTCCAGGTGGCTTGAAAATCAATTCAGATCAAGCACTCAGTCAATTAATCACAACACTTAGATTGCAGCAGCTGCTGAAAATGGCTGCCAGTTCCTGGAAACTTTGGAGGAAGGGGACGGGGCTGGCGGAGGAAAAAGAGGAGCCCTTGGAATGTATCGGGAGGCAGCTGGGCGAGTCGGGAAAGTTTGCGTACACCGCTCTCTGCGGACTGTCCTTGGCATCGCTGTTTCCCGAGCCAGAGGAAAGGTATGTGTTTTGGGATCCGTGTGGCTTGGCTCAGGTGCTCTAGCTTTGTCCCAGAGAGTCAGTCTGGACACTTGGAAAGTTTAACCTTGTGTATTATGATTCTGCGTGAACACCCTTCCGCCAGCCCAAGAGAGAATTTTTATTCACGCAGTCATCCGATATATAAATTGTTAGCTTTTTTAAAAAAAGTTGGGTTCTGTTTATTTCTTGTTGTGTTTTTAATTGGTCTAATCCAGATTCTATTTTTAACCTGCATTGTCTTGTATTTAGCCACCTTGAGTGCCCGGTGCGCTATAAAGTTAATTTTTAAAAAACTGACGTTGCTGGGGGTTTTGCTGCGTTTGAGTTGGGATATTTTGTTCTCCCTGCTAAAATGGGTCTGGAATTTTGAGGAAAGGAAGCGCATCTGCCCGAGACAGTGTGGAGCTGTTGCCAGTCTGTACTCCTTCATGTGGGGCACCTCCCATGCTCCGCATCCTGAAATCTGATTGCCCTGGGCTCCTAATCGTAATCTCCAAGCGCTGGGTTGTTGCTGCGGATCTCTCACCGCATCAGCACCGCTCTGCTGACTTCTGTGAGGACGGCAGCAGGTGGAAGGTGGTCTGACTGCGATGCTTTTCCTTTTGGCTGTGCCCTCTCCGAAGCTCCTACCGGCAGGCAGTCGTGGAGGCCCTGGTTGAATGGCTGCAGCTCCCGGAAGGGGTTTTGCCGGTCATGCAGGCCTTTGCAGGCGGCTTGGGAGGCGAAGGGACGGAGACCTTTGCCCAGATCCTGCTGAAGGAGCCTCTCCTGAAAGACGACGCCAGGGCCATCACGCAGGTGAGTCGATCCTGTTTCCTGGGTCACCTGCAGATTCCTTCCCAGTTCTCATGGACGATGCTGGGCCAGGCGCTCCAACCTGACCCGACATAAGTCAGTTTCTGAATGGGTGGGTTCATAAATGACTCAGGGCTGGACTGTACCACTTCAGGCTGCCGGTGGGGCTCACTGGCACCCAGATTCCCTGCCCCTAGAAAAATAGCATCACGGGGAGTAGAACTCTAGCCTGACCTCTCCCCTGACAGTCTAAGTGCATTTGTTTGTTTGTTTATTTTCTTGCCTGTTTGCTTGCTTGCCTCTTGCTTTATTTCCTCATCAATCTTACTGGTATTTTCAAAATGACACGGAGCTTTTGCACTGCCTTCATCCCGTGGCTCTGCTGCCTGAGCTTTACTGGGTGGTTTGCAAATGCTAAAACCCTAAACATATAACACTAGTAGTTTAGCTAGAAGTGTAGCTAGGAACAAACAAACAGAACATAAATGCACACACACGTAATTGGAAATGACCTTAAGGGAGTTGAATCTTAAAGATTTTCCTTCTAAATAGGTTCTTGACCTCTTTTTTATGTTTCTGCTTTTTTAGGATCTCGTGTCCTTCTCTCTCAAGGACGGTAAGTTTCCCAGTCCACTGCTTTTCTCTTTGTCACCCAGCCCCTCTCCATGTAATGTGGTTGATTCCGTGCAAATGCTTTTGCACAAATTCGCACACCCCAAGATGCACAGATGCTCTTTCTCCGAAAATAGGCAGTTGCCCCAGAAATGGGCATTTTCACACTTTAGCCTAGGGTGGCAAATCACAGCTGTTGTCATTTTTTCCCATTTTTTTTCTGTTTTGCTAGTAGAGAGACAGGCAATGCCTCAGTATTGGGGTTGGGCTGCAGATGACGGACCACACAGAAAAAAATTCCCGCTGGCCTTTCCCAGGTAGAGCAAAGTTGGGCACCGAGAGGCTGTTGTGGATAACAACCTTCCACCTTCCTTTTGCCGCAGGACACTACGACGCGCGCATGAGGGTGCTTCTCTCCCACGTCACCCAGCTGCTGAAGATCCCACTGGAGGAACTGGAGGCCTCTGAGGAGCACCTCCTTGAATGTCTGAACGAGGAACAAGAGGAGGAATCCGAGTAAGGCCCTCTTCCCCAAATCCCTAGTCGACCCTAGCTGAAGAGATGAGGCGTAAATGTTCTGGGCTTCGCAAGAGCCTTGGTGCTGGGGACAAGGGCACCAACGGCGTGCGTGTTGGTGTGTCTGAATATCCGGCTGGCCCCTTGGAGCAGAGGTGGTACGGAGAAGCCGGGGAGAGCTGAACTAGATTACTGCAAAGCGCTTGGCGTGGTTCTGCCCTTGAAGACGGTCTGGAAGCTGCGGCTTGCGCAGAATGCGCCAGCCCGCTTAACGGCAGGCCCCAGACGGACCGAGGCTATTGGAGGGTCTGGCCCGCTCGCCTGGCCCGTCCACAATTTTGTCAATAATGTTGGCGTGGGCGTGACTTTGCTGGGGTATGCCGCCCCCGAGCCCCCCACACCGCCCACCCTGATGTAGCCAGGCGGCCTTTGAGAAGATGCTGGCGGCCGCCCGCACCTTCCTTTTCTGCAGAAAGGGGTCAGTCATGATATAAATAACTGGCCTACCATGCAGGATGGGTGTGAGAGTTCCACCCAGTAGCACGGACTTCCCCAACTCGGCAGCTCACAGAGGTGCGTCAGACTACAGGTTCCATCATGCCAGTCCTCGGGATTGGTGCGTGCTGGGACGTCTAGTCCAGCGCAACCAGGTTGGGCCCGGAAGGCCCTTGGACACGCAGGAGCGGCTGCCCGATCACAAGGGGCTTATTGCTGGCTCCGGGTCGAAAGGTGCCGGCCTGGTTGGCGGGGGCCGCGTCAACATGGCCGGAACCTCGTGCTGGGACGGGACGGGCGGCCTCGGGCGAAACGGCCGGCCCTGCCGCTGCTTCCGCTTCTCCAGCCGCTGGCTGGAGGTGCAGAGCAGGAGCCGGATTGGGCCCGCAAAACCAGTCGTTCGAAATGCACCGCTCTGGCCTCGCTGGCTGCGCTCGTGAACCGTCCGTGTCCGTTCGTTAATACCCACCCTTTTCTTTGGACATGCCTGCCTGCCTGCCTGCTAGGAAGCACCTGCCAGGTAGGCACAACCTGTTCTCTTCTGCCCCTTTCAAGTGCTGGCAACCCGAGCTGGACTTGCTGCGGGGGCTGACGGCAGGCTCTGGGGAGGGGGGTGTCCGTGTCCGTGTGTGCGTGTGAGAGAGAGAGAGGGAGACATCCTCCAGTGCTAACACGGCAAGATGCAGGGCCGGCCTTCCCCGAGAGAGAGAAGCGGGTTCTGTTTGCACCATGGAAGCCAGCAAGCCCCCTCCAGAGGCCGCCTTTGCCGGAAGGAGGAGTGGGTGGGTAGCTTCCGGATGTCCTGGGCAGGGACAGTGGGCGCTGGATGAGGCCCTTGGGGAATTTCCTTGCTTGGGGGCCAGAATAATTTAGGTGGGGGGAGTGCTGCGCTTTGTCTGGCCCTGGCCCTGGCCCTGGAAGGAGCACTCGCGGCCTGCCCCCCCCCCACACTGTTCTCTCCTCGGTGCAGGACGGCGGAGGCCCTGCGGAAGAAGAAGGAGAGGAGGAAGAAGCTGAAGAGGTACCTGCTGATCGGACTGGCCACCGTCGGAGGAGGGACGGTGATCGGTAAGCGTGGCCTTCTCCGGGGCGTCGCGCTGCCAGCCTGTGCACCAGTCGCGGGGGCAGGGGCGAACCTCCGTCCCGCCGGAGCCGGGCTCACCGCTGCCCCGGACCACGCGTCTGCCGGCTGTGCCTTTTTTGCCCCCTCTAAAGTCGGGACGCCTTTCCGGAAGCCCTCTTCCCAGCACCAAGCACTTTTGCTCAGGCGGACGGGTGTTTGTGGGTATCCCGTCCTCTTCCGGCCCGGCATGCAGCCCCGGGGGGGCCTTCTCTGTGACAGAAGCGGCCCCCAGGCCAAAGGGAGCTCCCTGGACTGAGGGCACTGCAGCTTTGGGGTCCTGTCATTCCCCCCCCCCATGCCGCTTACACTAGCTGGAGACTGAACAGGCACCCCCTCTTCAGGTCTGACCGGGGGCCTGGCTGCCCCCCTGGTGGCCACGGGAGCGGCCGCCGTCATCGGGAGCGCCGGCGCGGCTGCCCTGGGATCTGCGGCTGGGATCGCGGTCATGGCCTCTCTGTTCGGAGCCGCTGGGGCAGGGCTCACGGGTAAGAGCGCGCCTCTGTCTTCCTCTCCTCCTGGTGCCGAAAGTGGGCCCGCGCGGGTGCCAGGGTGCTGCCGGACGACCTCTGGGGGGGCAGCCCGTGCCGAAACCTGCTGGACTCCGGACTGATCCACCAAGCCGTGTCCGTTGTCCGGATGCCAAAGGCCGGAGCTTCCCGGGACTTCAGCCCCCTGGGTCGCATGTGTGCCCCCCCCCCGTGCCCCCATGAGCAGCCCAAGCCGGCAGCAAGCGGAAGATGGGACTTGTAAGCCAAGCACTCCAGACTTGCCCACCCACACAGCAAGCCTTCCTCGTATTTCTAACCTCCGGGCGTGCGACACAGCAGCGTGAATCGTGTGTGTGCGTGTTTAGGGTACAAAATGAAGAAGCGCGTGGGCGCCATAGAAGAGTTTGAGTTCCTGCCCTTGACGGAAGGCAAGCAGCTCCACATCGCCATCGCCGTCACGGGCTGGCTCTCCCCCGGCAAATATGGTAAGGGCACGGCAAGAGGCACGTGGCCCCGGCGGGGGGCCACCCCCACCCGCACCCGCCGGAGCAGGAATGCTGGCCAGTGCTCCGGGCCGCCACAGCAGTGCGGGCTCCCTTCCCCTGGCCAGCTCAGACCCTCCCCGTCCTTTTCACAAACAGAAAGGCACGCGATCCCAAGCAGCCCGTCCCCACGGCTGCGAGGGAGAAGCCAGGCGTCCCGGGGCAGCGGCTCTGGGCGTCTCTCTCACCAGGCATCCAGCTCTCTGCCCCCTTGGTTTTTATTTCATTCCTTAAGTGTTTTTAAAATAAAACATGGCTGTGCTTGTGTTTCGAAACCAGAAGGCTGCTCTGTAGCAAACTTGGCCAAGGCCCACCTGTGCCACCCAAAAGGATGGATTTCTGCCCGGGTGCTGCCTTGTCCCTGTTCTCCTTCCCCAATTTACTCGCATCTGTTGCTGGGGAATGAGGTTTTCTGTCCTTTCCCCCCTCTGACCGCACACCCGGCACAACCCCCCCCCCCGTGCCTGCCGACCCACGTCAAAGGGTGGGGGACGCCGCTCTGCTCATTGGAGTGCAGGCATCTGGGAGACCCTTGCCGGCTTGAGATCATGAAAGGCGGATTTACAGCATGTTGATTCCTCGCTGTCCCGATTTACCCTCGGAAGGGAGCTTCGTGACACCGTGGGGCAGCTTGCTGCAGTCCAGGGAGCAGTACTGCTTGGCCTGGGAGTCGAAATACCTGGTGGAGCTCGGCAACGCATTCAACACCCTGCTGAATGGCTTAGTTAACGTTGTCGGTCAAGAAGCGCTGAAATACACCGTTCTGTCGGGTGAGTATCCCGCGACTGGCCGTGTTCTCAGGCCGCGTCTTTGCAGAGTCCCAGTTCAAGGACGGAAAGAGAAAGGACTCTCCGTCTCACTCGTTTTCCAAGACTTTCGTTTTACACCTCAGCGATCCCACTTTTCCAACAGCGAAAAGCCAAGGAGGGGAGAAATGTTGATTTTTCTTAAACGTTCTCGAAAGGAGGAAGCAATGGTCTTGCTCTCCCGCCCAGGCAGCTCCCAGAGTGGGTCGCGCAGCCCCAGCAAAGTGGGGGAGCTTACGGCTTAAGAGCCGTGGCACACAAGGGGAACAGGAGAGCGGGGAACGAACCTTTTGGGGTGGGGGACAGGATGGCTGAGCGGCCTGGATGAATGATCCTTCAGAACGGACACTTCTGCGAATTCTCCGGCTGAAAGGCGGCACACAACCCCAATGCGCAGATTCCCAGACCGCCTTTCAAATGCAGGAATCCTGCTGGAGCACAAGCACGTGGCCAGCTGGGAGGCCCGCGGGGTCTGCTTCGGGCCCCCAGAGAGGCTGGACTCGGCCTGCAGACGCAGGCGCTCCCTCGGGCCTGCCGTGGAAGCGCCCCGCGGTCCCAGTTTTCAGCGTACTCTCTCCCCGCGCCTCCCTCCAGGCATCGTCACGGCCCTGGCCCTGCCTGCGTCGCTGCTCACAGTCGCCAGCGTGATCGATAACCCCTGGGGGGTTTGCCTCCACCGCTCCGCGGAAGTCGGCAAGCACCTGGCCCAGATACTGCTCGGCCGGCATCAGGTAGGTGGAGGTGCCCGGTCCGCAGCTCGCCTCTGTGGGGGCTTCTCTAGGGAGGTGGGGGGCACGGCCCCCGGCAGTCCGTGGGAAAGCCCCAAGTCCGGCCCCTGATGGCCCAGGTTGGTCTTTACCTGTTTATTTGCATGGCTTTGCATCTGTCCGATGGCAATTCTCTCTGGAGAGCCGCAGGATTGTCCGGGGGCCCCGCTCTGGTCCCAGACACTTGGCTAAGGTCGGAGCTGGGCTCCAAAGCACCGTTCACACGCCCCCCCTTGCGGCGGGCGTGGAGAGAACCGTGCATGGCTGTGGGGCTGGGGCTGAGGGGCGCTGCAGTCCCAGCACGTCTGGGAACGGCTGCAAGCCCCACGGAGAGGCGGTCCCCCGGCTCAGCCCGAGCCAGGGAGGCGTGTCCCAGGCCACTGCACTGGCCGGCTGCCGGGGCCCCTCGGGCCGCGTGTCTCTGCCGTTCCCAGAGTGGTGGGCCAGCTGCCCCTTCTGGTTTCCCTTCCTCCAGGGCAGGCGGCCGGTCACCTTGGTGGGCTTCAGCCTCGGCGCCCGGGTCATCTACTTCTGCCTGCAGGAGATGGCCAAGGAGGAAGGTAGGCAGAAAGAACGTGGCTTCCTGCCCTGCGCCCGGAGCATGGGGCCACGGCTGGGCGGGAGGAGCCCCTGGGGGGGCATCCCAGCACCTGCCCTTCCAAAGGCTGTGTCTGAAAGGCCGCCTCCTCCACGCTGAGCCGGCCGGGCGTCAGGATGCCTGGGAGAGGCCCCTCTCTTGGGTCTCTCCGCAATTTGAAGCCTGCTCGGTGGAGCACAGCAGGGCCTTCTCAGTGGCTGCTCCCAGGCTCAGGATGTCCTGCCCAGGGAGCCAGGCATCCCACAGCGTTCCCTGCAGGAATCCTAGCCGGATGGCAGGCACGTCCTGGCCGCCAAGCCATGGGCCCGTGTCTCTGAGGGCCCCGTGCTCTTTCCTAGCTCCCGTTTCCAAGGCCCCGCAAGGCCGGAGTGGCAGCTCATGCGTCTGTGTCCCCCCTGTCCTTCTAATCATGGAACGGCCGAGCCGGAAGGGGCCAGAAGGCCTCCGGGCCCAACCCGCTGCTGCTGCAGGGCACCGGGGTCCCCCACCCAGGCCCCTTCCGAGCCCACGACTTCCCCAGGTGGCAGGCCCCATTGCCGTCCTGCTCTGACAGTCAGGAAGTTCTTCCTCGTGTCCAGCCCAAAGCTGGCTTCTTCTAGCTTGAGCCCGTTGCTCTGCTCCAGAGTGAACAAACAGAGGCCTTGACCGTCGTCGTCTCCGTGCCCGCCTCCCTTCCTCCCCTCGGGCTGAACGCGCCCAGTCCTCCCAGGCTTCCCCCTTCCCTTCCAGGCGCTGCCCTCCTCCATCGCAAGGGCTTCCCCACAGTGTTCCTGCCTCCGCCACAAGCCGCCGGTTCGCTAATGATGACTCGCGATCTCCAAAATTAATAGCCCCCCACCGTCCTCTCCCCCACCCGCCGCTTGGTTTAGGGACGGAGAGCAACTGAGCTGTCACGATTGCTCAGGAGCGGAGTCCTGCCGTTGAGTCACTGGCGCCAGGGCTGCGCGCCCTCCGCGTCCTCCTCCTCGCTCGCTTCCTCCTTGCAGACGGCGGCATTAGGACAAGACAATTTGTACCAATTAACGCAGCCGGGGACTTGCCACCCCCTCCAAAGCCAGCCTGGTTCCCGCTGCAGCCGAGCGGCTGTTCGGGCTTCGCTTCCTCTTCCGCCGCTCCTCGGCCTCCAGAGCCACTTCTCCTGGCAGGGCCACGCAGCCGGAGCATGGCCCTGGGCCAGGCTTCCGCCCACCCGCCCAGCTCTCGGGTTGGGGGGCGCCAAAAGCTGCCTTGACGCCAGGCCGAAGGATAGGTCCTCCTAGCCCAGCTGGACTCCGCTCCAGCTTCCTGGAACCAGGCACCTTCCAGACCTGCTGGACTACAGTGCCCATCACACACAGTTTTTGAAAAACCCGCAGTATTGTGGCAGAAAGCACAACCCTAAATGATCAGTCAAGCTGAATTGAGGACAAGAGCTAAAATTCAGAAAGGCCTTCTCCCACCCCTCATATGGCACTGAAGTTCACTCTGGGAGACCCTCTCGGGGGAGAGCCTTCGACGGCCGAGGGGCCACCGCTCAAGCGCACCCGGCCCACAAGTACCCACTGTGGCTCAAAGCCAGCGCTTAAAGCAGAGTCTGCAAACACGGACCCGGTTATCCCCGTAGCAGCCGCATTACGAACGGCCTGCGCGCGTCTCGCTGTCGCGCTCCAAACGGTTGCGATTCGCTCGGCAGCCTCCTGTGTTGCTCTCCAGCCAAGACCGGAGCCGCCTGGTGCCGCTTCTTGCTCCGGGCTTGAGGCAGGGCTGTTGTGTGGGGGCCGAAGGAAGAGGGGGATGCGGTTGCTAAGCAACCCCGGTACCTCTCTGCCGGCTCCCAGGGATGCTGAAGCACCGAGAGGGCTAATGAGGCCAAGCAGCGGCTGGGCTGGGGGCGCAGGTGGGGGAGGACGGTTTCACGCCGAGCGGGGGCTGTTCCCCGCGCAGCTCAGACCGTCAGTGCGGTGAGCTCAGCGCCGGCGTTTCGAGCTCGCTCAGAATTCGCCGCCGCTCTGCCAAGTCCAGATAAATGAGGAACCCTACAGAGTTTGAATTACAGAGTCACACGGGTCTTGCGGGTTCCATTTCGGCAACGGAAGACGCCACTTTGCCCGCACGCCCTCGCCGCCCACCATCTGCAGGGCTAGAACAGGCTCGTCCTCAGCTCATCGCCTGCCCGAATCAGATCTTCGGGGTGAGAGAGAAAAGCCTCTCTTGCAGCAATTCCCCTTGTGCCCCCAGCCTCCTGCTTCTGCCCCCCAAGAAAGTCCAGGGCAGTTGTGGTTGCGGGCAGGGGAGGGTTGTGTCTCCCTGGACTCAGCCAGCAACCCAAATTTGCTTTTTCAAGAATTAGGTCCCCCTGAGCTTGACGCGCGCCTGTTGCTGCCTTGCTCAGAAAAGGCCCCTTGATCAGGGAAGGACGGCCGAGTCAAAGCTCGCGTCCGATGCAGGAGCCGCTCGCGGTCCGGCATTGCCCCGTTGTGGAGAACAGCTCCCATCGTCCAGCTTTCAGCCCCAGGGCGGAATTCAGCTTGACTAAGCACACACATACCCGGATCTTGTTGGGTTTTTTTTAATTGCAAACTATTTACGAACAACTTTCATTTTAGAGAAGCCGATTATAACCAACTTCGAAAGCGTCTAGGGGAGCACCAGGAACCTCACACGCTTCAGTGCAAAGACGTCCACGGACAGTTCCCGGCCCCTTCTGGGTTGGCCCGTGCCACGCTTCCGACCGGGACGTCTTCTGTGGGTTCTCTCTCCCCAGCTCTCTCACACTCTCAACGTTTTGGGGGCTTCTCTCGACAGATTGCAGAGGGATCGTGGAGGACGTGGTCCTGCTGGGCGCGCCGGTCGAGGGGGACGCCACGTGTTGGAAGCCGATCACGAAGGTCGTCTCGGGCAAGATCGTCAACGGCTACTGTCGGTCCGTAGCCCCTCGCATTCATTGCTGCCCTCCCCTGCTGTGGAAACTGCCCCTGTACCTCTTTCAGGGCAAAACCCTTTATTCCAAGGGGGTTCAAGCAAATGACGAGCGGACGCCACCTTTATCGGTCGCCGCAGATGGAGTCCCACCTGGCGTTCGGCTGCCCTGTGGAACCCGCTTCCGACGGCTGAACGCCACGTCAGAGCGCCCATTTCCTTTCATTTCTCCACGGGGCAGCACGGAAACTGGCAGCAGATTTGAGCTCAAAGCTCTTTTGGCCGGAAACACGGCCCTGCGAGAGGCACCTTGGCGTTGGGGGCGTCTCATGGGCAGCGGCTTGGCCACCCCGTGAGCAGAATCCAGGTCTAGAAGCCGCTTCGCTTCGCTACATAGGCCATCCAGTCCACGGGGCCGGTCAATGCAAACTCTGCAGAGCAATCCTCCAGCAGCCAGCCGGGGGCTCCTCGAGGAGCCCCCGCTGCCTCTTCACGCCCGCCGGCGTGCTTCTCTGCCGCTTCCACTCCTCGCTTCTAATCCTGCCCTCTGGAGCAAGAGGCCACGCCTTGGCCCCCCTCGAGCTTCTCTCCTCCAGGATGAACATCCTGGCGCTTTGAATCTTCGGGTCGCTCGGTGCCGCTTTCTGCTTGGACGTGCCCAGAGCATTGCTTCCGTCAGCCGGCTTTTGCGTGGATGTCTCGCTCTCTCCAGGGGGGACTGGCTGCTGAGCCTCGTCTACAGAACGTCCTCTGCCCAGCTCAACGTTGCTGGGCTCCAGCCCGTTAACCTGGACGACAGGCGGATGGTGAACGTGGATCTCTCCTCGGTCGTAAGTCGCTGCTGGCAAAGGCGAGGCTTTTGGCTGGCGCCCTCCACAACCTCGGAGTGGCTGCCTGCAGCTTGGCCGGCCCCAGATGCTCTCGGGGGCTGTGTTCTGGTGGAGGGTGGGGATAAAGGGGGGGGGGGGGGGCTGAAAATGCAAGCAGGAGGCTTCCCGGATGGGGTGGGCCGAAGACTGGGCTTCATTTCCCCCTTTGACAAAGCTGCAGGGCCTCTCCGAAAGCGGCATTACGGGAAGCAGGAGCACCGAGCTGCCACAGGCCACGGGTTTCACCCCCACCCACCTTGCGCCTGGCGATCCAGGTGTTTCCCAAGCAGTCCCTGGCATGGGATCAGCCTTTGTCCCGGTCAGGTCAATTTTTCAGGTCAATATTTCAGTCAAACCCCCAGATCTCCTGCTTTAAAATAACAGTAAAATCACACCCATCCGCAGCAGCAAGCAGTGACTGAAATGCATTGAAACGGACAGGCGTGACTCAGAATAAAGTCGCGGCTTTGGAACCAGAATGGATCAGCTGGCGAAACGCCCCTTATCTTCCCCCCAGCGGATCTCTGGCTTGTTTTGTTTCGCACTGTGGCTAAGTCATGGCGTCGGAAAAGGCCAGACCACGCAGGTTAACCGAAGAGCGGGGGCCTTCCGTCCGCACCCCCGCTGCCAGCAGAAGATGCAGCCGATTAGGTCTCCAGTGGCCCTTTTAATTAAACCTCTAATCTCTCCCAAATTGGAAAAGAACACTCGAGCCAAACGGACAGCTTGCAGCTGCAGATTGCCTCGTCAAGTACAGATCCCCCCCCCCAAAAAAATCAGGCAGGCAGGCGGCAACCTCCCAGGTTTCGCGCCAGCTCCAAATGTCAAAGCGCTGCAACACTGCTTCTTGGTGAAACCCAAGGAACGCTCACCCCCCACGGTGGCTCAGATGCCGCCTTTGCTTGCGTGAGCGGAGCTTAAATCCAGGCAAGGCAGAAGGTCCGGGAGGTACCAACGCGAAAGATTAGGCTCAGAGGGCGTGTGAATGCGTCGACGGGGGCAGAATGGGGAGCAGCCGGGCTCCCAGGCAGTGTGCCGTGCCAGGATCCTGCCCCCGAAGGCTGGCGAGGCCGGTGCCGGCTGCCGCTTGAATCCGGGGCTCTGGTCGTGATGGCTTCGGGCCTCACTCTGCAGGGGACCCCCTCCCAGGACAAACCTCCTGGCATTAAGAGCCACACGAGCGGTTCTTTGCAAGCATCCTCGCTCGCCCAGACCGGCTTCTCCGGTGCCACTCGCACCACCTGGAACACGCTTCGGCCGGAGCAGCCGCCTGGCCGTGTCCCACTCAGTCCTTTCCCCCCAGTCCCTGCGCCTTGCGGGGACGCCCCACTGTCTCGGGGGGGCGGTGGCATAAAAGGTGGGGAAGCACCCAGTGCTTGCGGGAGAGGAAGGCAGGGGGAGTCGCTGCAGGAAGGACCGGAAAGGGGGGAGCATGCGGCACGCTTGGATGGCTTGGGGTATGGGACCCCCCCCCCCAGGTGCTACGGTCAGGCCCGCCTTGCATGAGCCTCATGGGTCCTCGTCGGGCTTTGCAGGTGAGCGGCCACCTGGACTACATGAAGCAGATGGACACCATCCTGAAGGCGGTGGGCCTCAGGACCAAGCCGTGCCGCGCGGAGGAGTGGGGGAACCTCGCCGCGCTCCCGGCCAAGGCCGAGGCCGGCCCAGAGCCAGCCCGGGCCAGCCGTGCCCCGCAGGAGGAGCGAGCCGCGCCGGACAGGGAGGAGCGCCAGGACAGCGGCAGAGAGAGCTCTGCCGGCAGCGAGGACCACTGGGCGTGGGAGCCGGTCAGCCACGGGCAGGGCCGGGGAGACCGGGGCCAGAGCGAGCTCTCCGAGGCCGGGCCGTGAGCGAGGCCCCACCGCCTGCAGGACTTGCCGGATCGACTGACCGCGGCACCCGCCCCGAGGCCGAGGCAGAGCCCTCGCTTGCCCCGGCACGGCACCTGCCCGGCCCTCACCGCCTGGGAGCCTCTCCCTTCCGTGGGAGAACATCCGAGGAGACCTGCTGGGGAGACTGCCCCACATTCTGGCATTTTTCCTGGGCTGCCAGGAGGCTGCTCTCCCACCCCCTGCTCTCGGAGGGGTCGCCTTCATGGCCCCGCGGGTATTCCTTGCGTCCTTCTCGCTCTGGAGAACGGGCGCCGAAAAGCATCTCCCGGCTCCCAGGCAGCTGCACTCGTGCTGTCTGCACCCGGGCAGGGGCTGTCTGCAAAACGGGTGGACAGTCTCAGACTGGCAAGAAACACAGGCCAGCGAAAGGAAGCGCTCGCACTGGGGCAGCGGTTTGGAAGGTCCAATCCCACGGTGGGCAAGCCCAAGACGGGACCAAAGACCACACGCCCTGGGGCTGGGCGGTGTGTGGTTTCGCACTGTTTTTATTTCCACTGAAAGTGCTCTGGGCCAGTAATTCAGCCTTGGCCGAGGCCGTCTTGTCTCCCGCGAGAGGTTTGGGGGGCTGCCCCACAGCTGGCGAGCCAGCAGGAGAGGCGCAGGTGCCAGAAAAGGGCAGGACCCAAAGACCTCCTGGCCCCCTGGGGGACCCCGGACGGCTGGGATGCTCCTCGGCCACAGTTCCCAACCCGTGTGCAGCTGAATAAAACCTACTGAATTATTCCAGGCATGCGCTCCCCCAAAAAAGGTGTGGGGCTGATCCGGGGGGCAGAGCTGGTGCCCCGATCAGAAGCCCTTTCTCCCCTTTCACCACCCCCAGGGAGTGAAAGGCTGGCAGTAAACTCTGTTGCAGTTGGCTAAGAGAGGTGGCCCCGGATTTCTTGGCCGTTTCCTTGCTCTTGGCAACCAAAAAGGACGAGAGTTTTCTCGGCAGTGGGGGCATCCGGCACCGTTGAAGCATTTGACGTTCTTGCAAGAAAGCCCCGTTCCCGTCCGCCCAGCCTGGCCTGCTCTGGAGCTGAACCCGTTTCGTGACTCATAAAACTGCGAGGAGCCGGGCATCAGGGGAATGTGCAAGCAGGAAGCATTCATCGTGTGTCCACTGGGAAATAATAATTAAAAAGGAGGATCGCGCTCGCCGTCCGCTATTTCCATGCAGCCTGTGCGTGAGAGGGCACGTGGCAGCCGTTTAAGCCGGGGTGCGGATTCTGCCGGGCAGCGGCAAGACGAGGTGGGCTGGCTCTGCGCCAAGGCCCAATCCAGCAGGCCCATAACGGAGGCGTGTTGGCCGTTGCAAAGCGGGAGAAGCCACGCCGCGGAGCCCAAGCCGGGGGAAATGGCAGTCCAGGCGAAAGGGGAGGTCCGGGCGGCACGATCCGGGCGAAAATCCGCGGGAGGTGCTCGGAGCGTCCCACGGAGTCGCAGGTGTGGGCATCCAGTGGATGCTTTGCCCTGCCCGGCACACGCAGGAGACGGGCCCGCTCAGAAGGCAGGGTGGCCGAAAGTGGGGCGAGGCGTCGTGACGGCCCCCCACTACAGAGGGGCCGAGCCGCGTGCCGAGAACCAGAAGTGCAGCTTCCAGGTCGCTTCGCTGTGGACGCGACGGTCTTCCCGGTGCCGGCACGCAGCGGGGTCTCCGGGCCAGGCTGGCGTCCAGGGCCAGCAGGAGGGGCCCCGTCGGGGCCAGGCTCCTCGGCTCGGCCGTGGGGGGCGGCCTGCTCAAGCCACGGGGGTGTTCGGCGGGTGGATGTGGAGCTCGGGGTCCGCGTGGCCCGGGTCGGGAAGGTCCGGGAGGGGGCCCGCCCGCTGGCCGCCGAGCCCGTGGGCCTGGGTGGCGGAGGCGGCCGAGTCGGCGTCCCCCGGCGGTGCCGGGCCGCTCCTGAGGGAGGCCCCCGGGCGGGGGCCGCTGTTGGAGTTGCGCACGGAGAGCGAGAGCGGGCTGGGCCGGCGCTCCCAGGCCCGGCGGCAGCACGGCAGGTACCTGGCCATGGCCCTCTTGAAGTCCCGCATGAAGAGCGGGTAGATGATGGGGTTCATGGTGCTGTTGCAGTAGCCCAGCCAGGTGAGCAGGTCGAAGAGGCCTTCGGAGATGCAGTTGCACACGGCCTGTGGGGGGGGGGGAGAGCGGGGAGAGGACCGTGTCTCGGTGCTGCCCCCGCGCCTGGTTTGGCCCACGCAAGCACACGGAGGGACACGCGCCCCAGGCAGCAGGAAGGCAGCTCGGAGCCAGGAGCCAAACTGCTCAGGGGCACGGCCGGCAGCACACCTGTGCGCTGCTGATGGACGCGGGGGCCAAAGCCCCCCCGTGCGTCTTTTTAAAGCGCCCTGCGTCCTAAGGCCCCCCCCACCCCGTTGTAAAAAGGGGTGCCTGGAAAGGGCAGGGGGCATTGGACTTCGGGGGGCTTCCCAGTGCCTCCCCCTCGGAGGTGAGAGCCGCCCCCCCCCCCGCCGGGCTCACCTGCGCCATGTTGCACACGAAGAAGGGCAGCCAGGCCACCAGGAACATGCCCAGCAGCACCCCCAGGGTCAGGCTGGCCTTCAGCGCCCGCTTGCTGTGCTTGCTGGAGAGCTTCCGTGCGTCGCCCGGGCCCGTTGGCTGGCTGCGAGCTCGCTGGACCTGGAGAAGGCAGCGGAAGACTCAGACGGGAGCACTGCGACACCCATCATCCCCAGCGCCAGGGCTTCCCTGAAATTCCGTGCCTATTTTTAATTCAGGCCACGTGCGTTGCCGGAACATGCATCTATTTTATGACCGGTATTCCTGGGCGGCTTCGAAGGCTCGCTCGCTCGCTCGGCGCTGAGGGCAGAGGCCGCACCCGGGTGGGTGAGCCTCCAGAGACGTGGGAAACGAGCGGGGCTTCAAAAGGGGCTCACGGGAAGGACGATTGCCCCCCTTCTCAAAGGCCGCAGTTCCAAGCCAGACTCAGTGGTATCCTACTGATAAATCGGGCGCTTTCTTCAGCCTTGCTTTGAGTCCTCCTTTTAAAAGCATTTCTCAAGCCAAGAATCTGCAATTGGGCATTTGATGGCTGGCTGGGTTGTAGTTTCCCGATGTGAAGCAAAGGAAAAAGGGGGGAAAGCAATACCAAAGCATTTAAATGCAATTAAGCTTGGGGGGGGGGTTCCCTCTTTCTCTCCTGCAGCATAAGGAGTTTCGCAGGGGTTGGTGAGTTACTTCCTCTTTAAAAAGTGTGAAAGGCAGACCAATGGCACACGCAGAGCAAGTTAAGACTGGAGAAACATCAGATTCTCAAGCACTTAGATTTTACAGCCCTGAGGAGCAGAGAATCTGTTTCACATTTTACTGTTCCAGGCTGAGATGCCCCAGAATCTAGATTTTGCAGCCAAGAGAACGAGGCGTTTGGAAGAATACGACACAAAAAGAAGCAGCCAGCCTCTTGAACACAACAACCTGAAATAATAAAACACAAGATCTGAGATGCTGAAGAAGCTCGGTTCCGCAGTCATGAGGACTAGGGGCTTATTTTTTCTTTTATTATTCCGGGCTGAGATGTTTCAGAGGCTGGATCCTGCTCTTCGTCTGCCTTTATTCTCCGCTCCTGCAGGATGGAGCACCAGCGTGCAAGCACAGACCCGAGGCGAGCGCCATTTCCCTTTAGGCAGTGACTCAGTGATCTTGGCAAACAAAATTCCACTTGTCGGGAACGTTAGTCACTTGTCCGAGGGCGGCCCTGGGGACGGAGGCCTCCAGTCTCTGCCCCGCTTCATCTTGACGCCTGCCGATCTCCCGCACACCCAGGAATCCGGCCAAGTTGTGCAGGTTCCTGCAAGCTCAAGGCCTGATGGAGCTCGGCAATGAGGTCCCTCCGATGGGTGGAGGGGGAGCTGGGGAGTTTGTGACTGCCTTTCTATCGTTCTTCTTACAAAGACCAACCCCCCCACAAGATGCAAGATCAACCACGCCAGCCGCTGCCCCCAGCCCGGCTTTCTGTGTTGGCAGTGAGGCGCACGTCTCCATATCTGCAGGGGTCCCCCCACCTCACCCCAGAAGGGCCTTTGCTTGCTAACTCTATCATGCAACGCTTCATCGAACGGCCAGATTGCACTGCACCCCACCTTTCCGCCCAGTGCTGCAAGGTCGCGAGCATCCGTGGCTGCATGATGCACTTCAATGCACTTCGGGGTTGCCCAACTAATGCTAAAGCACTCTCAGAGAGCTGCTGCTTCACACCCTGCATCACATGTTCTTCTTTTGGGGCAAGGCAGTTCCCACACTGAGCTGGAAGCCACTTTTCCAATCCCCCCCCCCCCCACATTTCTTTCCTTCTAGGATTGCTCTCCTGCCTCTTAACTAAATCTGTTAAGGGCTATGCCAGCTACGGTGGGACATTCCAGATTCACCAAGTCTGCTTTGATTTTTTTAAGAACTATAACTCCAGAAATCCACCAACCAGAGCCAGCAAAAGTCACCTAGAATTAAAGATTTCTGAGCCCGGGAATTCAATATGTGTAGCAAAGCGGCATCGAGCTCACACAACAGTCCACTCTGCAAATTTTCTTCCTTTCACCAGTGCAAGTTAAAGCAAGAAGAGAAACGTTCAACTGATCTACACATCAAATAACTGGGAAGAGGAATCCTTGCCAATTAACTTCTGCCAGGTTTCTCATTTCCACCTGGAATTTTACCATGCAGAACTGCAGTTCTCATCTTCACAGTGTAATTAATTCACAGGCAGGTCCACCGTCCTCAGTGCCATTTCTGTGCGTATCCCCTTGGATAAGGCCTGCTCCTTTTGAGAAATGTCATTGCCTTGTCGGGTTCCAGAAAGCTGTTGCTTTCCATGTGCATTAAGGAATGTTCTGTGTAGCACCTGTGCCGAAATCCTAGCTGTTTCTCCTTGTCTCTTTAACTCCCTCCCTTAAGGAAAGCTCACCCATAAGAAAAGCCGTGGGCATGAGCTCAGCAAGCCTCAGCAATGGGGCCAAGCACCTGCCGCTCTTTGCGTCATTTTATCTCTGTACTGCCCCAGAATCAAAACTCTCAGGGCGATTCCCCAGAATTACAACCCAAAGCACTGAAACGACAACAGCAGCAATGGCAGAAAAGCATTTCAAAGCAGCTGAAAACGGTTGCCTGCAAACTGTTAGGTCGCGGTGACACAGCGACGGAGAATCCCTGCCATATGGCGTCCAAACGGACACGGCCCTACAAAGGCACAGGCCGTGGCCAGGAGCGCTTTAAGCAGCAATGCCTGGCATCTGGGCCTGCCCCTTGGCCCCTGGCCCCATCCCCAGGGGGCTCCCCCTGCAGCGCTCCTCTGGCAGGGCCCCCGACGCTCGGGGGGGTCCCACACCTGGCCTAGGCCGAGCCCCTCGGGGGCGGCCACGGCCCTCTCACCTGCTGGGCCAGGCCGCCGGCCGCCGCGACGACGTTGTTGGTGAGGGAGGCCACCTGGACCGCCTGCTTCCGGGCCGCCAGGAGGATGCGGCAGTAGGTGAACAGGATGGCCACCGAGGGCAGGAAGAAGGTCAGGCCGGAGGCGACGAGGGCGTAGGGCAGGCTGACCAGCAGCCGGCACTGGTCCTCCTGGGCCCGGAGGGTGGCGTTGGGCGGCCGCAGGTGGCGCTGCGCCTCGTGCCAGCCCATCTCGATGGGCAGGAAGGACACCAGGGCCGCCAGCGTCCAGGTGGCCAGGATGAGCAGCAGGGCCCGGCCGGGCGTCATCCGCAGCTTGTACGTGAGCGGCGAGATGATGAGGAGGTAGCGGTCCAGGCTGATGACGCACAGGTTCAGGATGGAGGCGCTGGTGCACATGACGTCGAAGGCGAACCAGACGGAGCAGAAGGCGCGCTCCAGCACCCAGCGGCCGTACAGGTGGTTCAGCACGGCCGGCGGCATCACCACGGAGCCCACCATCAGGTCGGACAGGAAGAGCGAGACCAGGAAGTAGTTGGAGGTGTTGCGCAGCGCCCGCCGGCTGAGGATCAGCAGGATGAGGGCCAGGTTGCCCCCCACGGTCAGGAGGGCGATGCCGCCCAGCGGGGCCGCGGTCCAGGGGCTGCCGCTGCGGAGGGGGCCCTCCCCCGCCCGGCTGGTGTTGGCGCCCCCGGGCCCGCCCTCCATCGGGGGCAGAGGGCTGGGGAGCGGCGGGGCGCGGGGTCGGGGGAGGCCGGTCCGCCTCCCGGGGGCCCAGCTCTGGGCCGGGACGCTGCCCACGCGCCGCTGCCGAGCCCAGGCGACTCCGGGATCCGGCCGGTGCGCCCCAGCTCTTCTCCCATCGGGGGCTGGCGGGCCGGGAGGGGAGTCATCGGGCGAGGCCTGCTGACCTGAGGCAGAGCGTGTGGTGGACGCGCCGGACTGCGAGGTCGGAGCAAAGCGCGGCAGCAGCCGTCCCGGGCCGCCGGTGCGACGACGGAGACCCAGCCGGAGGTGGGGCGCCACTCACTGGCCTGCCTCGGACCCTCGATGGGGCCGGATCGGCGTTGTGGGAGGTCCCATTTCCGAAGTCACGAGTGGGCGAGAGCGGCTCCCCACCCCCCATGCAGTGGGTGCCGGTGCAGAGGCGAGGGGCCACGGCGAGGCGAGGGGGGAACCGGCGGCGCAGGAACTCCTCCACTTCGGGAAGGGCAGTCTGGCGATTCAGATTCTGCAGCTGGAAGCAGAGCGGAGGAGTGGGGGTCCCGCTGCGGCTGGCGGGCAGATCTCCCCCCCGCCCAGGCGGCGGCTGCTGCTGGTGCCCCCAGTCGAGAAACAGGTTGCAGGCGGGCGGGGGGGGGTGCCGAGCGAGGCCGGCCAGTTTCCAGAGCCGGTCGTGGCCGGGAGACCCGAGCGCGGAGCTGGGCGGTCGCCACAAGGCGATCCAGACAGGCGAGGGCGGCGCGCCCTGGGCAGGGGGCGAGATGGAGCGGGCCCTTCCTCCGGGGGCGCCTGGCCTTGCTTGGTCCCCCCCTCGCCTTCCTCTCTCCTTTCCTCCCCCCGCCCGCCCCCGGCCAGGAGGGCAGCCCGGGCTTGGGCTGCGCAGCGCCCCCGGAAGCCCGCGCGCAGCCCCCCCCCTCGCCCCGGCTCGGACCCCGAAGGGAACGCAGCCCCCCGCCCCCCCCCCGGCTCCGTACCTGTGGGATTTCTGCCTCCCTGGGGCGGCGCGGGCGGCGCTCTCTCGCCGGGGGGCGGGTCCCCGGCTCCGGCTCCTCTCGCCGAGGGAGACGCGTCGCGCTGCCCGTCGAGAGGAAGGGACTGGACCCCCCCTCCGCGGAGGGGGCTGGAGGCGGGGGGCGTGGGGTGGAGGCGCCCCAGGCCGGCGAGGGGACCCCACGCCCAGGGCTGCGGGAGGAGGGCGGGAGTCTCGCCCCGCTCGGGCGCTCGGGGCACCCACGTGCCCGGGGCAGATGCGGCTGGAAGAGAAGGGGCGGCGGGAGAGGCTTCAATGACGGCGGCGATGATGATGATGGTGGCGGTGATGCTGCCCGCGACAGCCCTCCGGTTTCTCCTCTTCGGCTGTGGAGCCAAGACCCGAAAACATTTGCGGGAGAAGAGCCGGCGGCGGGAGAGCTGGGGAGGGGAAGTCTTCCCGCGGGCCGGCAGGGGGCGGTAGAGCGCTGCCCCGGAAGCCCGCGCCGGCTCTGGGCGCCACGGTTTCGGGAAGAGGCAGAAAGGCGAGAGAGGGGCCAGAGGGGGCAACCGAAACGACCCAGGGCTTGGAAACACTGAGGAGAGGCTGAGAGAACTGGGCATGTTTAGCCTTGAGAAGAGAAGGCTGAGGGGGGACATGAGATCCCCGTATGAGTCCCTCAAAGGCTGCCACAGGGAGGAAGGTCAGGATCTCTTCTTGCTGATGCCAGAGTGCCGGACACGGAATGATCGAGTCCAGTTGCGACAGCCCAGGTTCAGGCCGGGCATCAGGAAGAGCTTCCTCACTGCCAGAGCAATGCGACAGTGGGCCCGGCTGCCTGGAGGGGTGGGGGGCTCCCCCACACTGGAGGCATTCAAGGAGAAACTGGGCGGCCCTCTGAGTGGGGTGGTGCGACTTGGTGTCCTGCACCAGCAGGGGGTGGACCGGATGGCCTTCACGGCCCCTTCCAACAGCTCTGCTCTGCTCTAGAGATGTGGGCCTTTCCCTGCTCTGCTGCTTACGTGGAATTTTAATTTTAATTTTGTATTTGTAAATCAATGTATTTTTTGTATTGTTATATTTAATGGTAATTTATTATGTACTATTGTATTTCAATGTATTTTATCATGTTGTAAGCCGCCCCGAGGTTTCGGCAAGGGGCGGCATAGAAATGTTATAATAATAATAATAATAATAATAATAATAATAATAATAATAATTTCTTTTCACCTGCCAGTACCAGGAAGCAAGAGAAGCAAGAAGCCTTCTCCCTTAGCTCCCTCGAGCAGTGTGGCCCAGTGGGTAGAGGGTGGGCCTGGAGATCAGGAGGCCCAGGTTCTCGTCTTCACTCAGCAGTGCAGCTCCTGGGTGACTCTGGCCCAGCTGCCTACCCTCAGCCGTGCCTACCTCACAGGGCTGTTGCTGTGAGGATAAAATGGAGAGGAAGAGCGCTTAGTATGCCTCCTTGAGCTCTTCGCAAGATGACGATAAAATTGGGGTATAAAAGTCACGTAATAACAATAACGCTCGGATGGGCAGACGTCCCTTCAAGATTTTTTCAAGCAAGGAGACCCTTGGTCCCTGGAGGTGCTCAGGGACTGAAGTTGGGGCTATACCATGTGAAACAGGGGCCGTACCACTTTGTCCTCTTGCTGTTCATTCCTTTGGAGAACAGCCAGCTTCTTAGCCGCCTTTGGAAGCTCAGTGGGTTGGCAGGGTTCCCCCATTGCTGAAGCAGAGCCCTGGCAAGTGCCCCACTATCCTGGACTCTGGCACCAGAACCTCTTTTAACCTGCATTATCTCAAAGTCCAGGAACCTGAAGCAGAAGCATGAGGATGTCTATCCAGCATCTACTCCCAAGGAGGCCCTTTCCGTTGACTTCCATGTCTCAGGAATGCCTCCCCCCCCCCCCGTTCCCCTCCAGGCTTTGCTGAATCCAAGGTGCCACCTGGTGGCGACATACAAGAGGAAAACAGGAGAATTTCTCCCCTGCACCACCCCGAGGCTTGTCCTCGGCCAGAAATGCGGGGAGGGCACCCAAAAGAAGGGGCAGACGGCAGCCTTTCAAAGACAACGCTTCTTAAAAATTACTGGTTTGTAAAAAGCGAAGGTCAGAGCAAAATTGGTGGATAGTCCTTCTGTCCACTTTTGCTACAAGCCTGCCAGTCACCGAAAAGGCCCTTCTCCTCTGACTCCATTACATGCTGGTCAACATCCAGGAAATGGATTGGCGGGGGGGCGAAAAGAACGCAGTGTCCCGGTGCGAGGATTAGGAGACAGGCCCACGGGGCTTCCCAAAAGGGCCTGTTAGAAAGTTTATTTAAAGTGTTGGTAATTTTCCCCTCCCAAACTCGGACCCTGTCCCCCATCAGCAACCAAGATCGGAGCAAAGAATGGCAGAAATGCTCTTTGGGTACTGCATTCGCCAATCCTCCTCTGCCCAGCAATCGATGCTGGAGCAGGTCCCACGAACTTTCTCAGCTCCAAACGAGTTCGAATTTCTAGGAGCAGTTGAGTCGCGTGGATTATTCCGACTTGCACACCTGTTCTTCACTTCCGGGGCAGGACTTGCACACTTGGGCCCAGCGCAGATATGTGTATCGTGTGCGCCCGCGCCCGCGAGCAAAAGATGCCCGACAAGCTGCAGGACGCTGCGGAAAGAGGCTCCGAGTCCCAACGTTCCCAGTCTGTTTCCGGCACCCCAGAGCCCCTTCCCACAGCGCTTCCAGGGAAAGAACGGATTTAAAAAAGGAGTGGCAGGGGAAGGGAACTTTGGAGGGAGCTGGGAAGCATGGGGGGGGGGGCCTTGGGACCCACAGCCTGCTGCTTTTTCTTGCACTGGCTACAGCCCCATTTCCAAAGTAACTTTGAATTGTATCCTTATTTTTTCTCTCCCTCTTCTTTTAAAACCTTCCTGCTTTTAAAAAAATAAAAAAGACACACCCGCCCATGGCCCGGTGCATGAGGAAAGATGGAGAGGTGAACATTATTTTATTTAGGGGGTGGGGAACCAGAACACTACAAAGACAACAATACACATACAGATCCGTGAGTGTGAGGGAGCGTATGCACATGTCTTCCAAGTCCCAGAAGCTTCCAGCCCGAGCGGAACATGGAGAGAGGCTTAGACAAGCGAGACCAAGCCCCGCGGTGAGGATCAGTGATCAAGACTTCGGAAAGGAAAAACCGAAAGGGACAAGCCCATCACAGACGTTCTCCAGCCTTGCAGCGCAACCCTAGGCCTGCTTACTCGGGAGTAAGCACCACGGAAGGGTCACAGTCTGGGTTGGGCCGCGTTGGGTTACCTGCAAGAGGGACCTGCCTTGATTTGCCCCGGCTTGCCGTTGAGTTGAATGGCGCTCACTGGGACCCCCCCCCCCCACCAAGTCTCGCCGCTGAGCTCCCTGTTTCCATTCATTAAAGTGCTGCTGAGAGCTGCAAACAATCCCTCACATGCCTGGAAGGAGGACAAGCACCCCTTTCCAACTGAAATCACTCTGTGGGAGTCATCCAGGCCACTCTGCTTTTGAACCCGGGACGGGTTGGCAAGGATCGCGTGGGCCAAGGCTCCCTCCCTCCGCCTGCGACTCGGAGTGGGCCGTGCGACTGATCGGCGACTGCCCTCTAATGGTGTGGAAAAACCTACAGGTAACTGCAAAGTATAATCACGTGACTCTCACCTGGGACTCAGACCTACAGGGTCTGGAAGTTAATTGGGTTTGTTCCCCGCCCCCCATAAGATCCCCCAATTATATTGCACAATAGAATACTGGAACAAGAGCCCCTGAATTCACATCCACCTCCTGAAGGATCCAAGGCACCAATACTTGGATTGGGCCAAGCAAACCCAGGCACCCAGGAAGCTAAATGGCACTGCAGTTGTTGGAACAGGAGGCACCGAGTTCAGGTCCCGCTCCCGGGAATCTGAGAATCCCATTCCGCCAGACCTGCATCAGGTACAACTGAGCATGGTGGGTTTTGACCTCATGGGAAATACAGATTATCCTTGCCTTCTGGCATAGACGTGAAATCTTTTGCATCCGCGCAGCAGGGCCAGTGATGCAGCTGCTAGGAGTTTTCCGGCCCTTTGGGATGTTCGGATTTCTGAGTGCATCTGCCCTTGTTTGGGGAAGGCATGGTGCCACACGCAGCTGGCCAACCCAACACCCCCCCCCCCGAGCAGCAGCTGGGAAGAGCCGGATCCCAGTGTAAAGAGGCCTTTGGTCCGGGCCCAACAGGAGGTGGATGGTTTTCTCCCGCTTGGTGGCGGAGTTAAATGGGACTCCCCATTGCAAGGCCTTGTTCGACCCAGAGCCGTCCAGATGAGCCAGGCTGCTGATTCCATCATCCTCAGCCAGGATGGGCGCTGCGCTCCCCGGTTGCGCATCCAGCTTACACGAGGGAGCTGTGGGGGCACCAGTGGCTCGCCAGGCTGCGGTCTGAGCTCTGAGCAGCTATCACGGTGCTGAGCCCCGTCAGGGTTGGGCTCAGCACCACGGACAGCGCCTTTAAAGGCTGCCCAGTGGCCCAGGCTGAGTTGGAGGCGGGATGAGGCCCCGGTGGGAGCCGCTGCTGCTGAGGGCTGGTGCCCGGGCAGCCCTCTTCGAAGTGAGCCAGGAAGACGCAGGGTGAGGGTGTCCTCCCCTGCCCCTAAAAGACCCCCTTCGATCTGCGTCCCGGGCAATGTGGCGCCGAAAGGCTGACGGGGCCACGGCGACGGTCGCAGCGCCTTCCCCAGCCCAGAGTGGTTGGGTTTGCTTCTCATCTCTATGTTAGCGGAGTGGGAACGGAAAAGGGGCTCCAAACCGGCGCTACAGGCCGCAGAGGCATTCTCTGCTCCCTGGGGGATGTTCGATCAGAGAGGTGCCCCTGGCCCTGCTCACAGAACTGCCATGGTGGGAGTGAACACCGTGGGAATCTGCAGGACACGGCTGCTCTCGCCCCAAGTGCTGAATGGGATTTCTCAGGGGCTGGATGGGTTCCCCTTCGGGACTCTGAAGGAGGCGGCCAGCCTGCCCCGGAGGATCCAGCTTCTTTCCCCCCAGCCATGTCCCCAAACATGGGTTGCTTCGCCTCTCCACGGGTTCCTCTTGGATCAAATTCCCACAGTCAGGATCCAGCTCGGTGGGGTCCCAATCCAGAAAAGTGTGACGAAGACGAGGTGGCAAAGGAACGCCCACCTTCTCTCCATGGTTTGCCAAAATGTTTTGAATTTGACCTCTGGAAGAGAGTCCCCCAGAAGACCCTCCGTCAGGGAGCCAGGTCCTCAAAGCCCTCCCCGGACAGGTGGGCTCAAGGTGCGGTTCCGGGAATAGGGGGGCTGCTCCCAGCCCCCGGTCCTCTCCACTGGCATCCTGGGCTCCCGGCTTCCTCGACTGGGGTCCAGCTTCGGCCTGGGCCCTCGGCCAAAATGCGGATAAGAGCAAAGCAGGGTGGGAATTTCAGTGAGAGAGAGAAAGAGAGGGGGAGAGAGAGGCGAGGGAGGAACGGCCGGGCGTCCTCTGCAGCTCCGGGAGGGTGGAGGTCAGTCCGCGGGCTCCTCTTCGTGCTGGCGGTGGTGGTGGTGGCTGGCGAGGTCCTCGGCTTGGCGGTGGCCGTAGGGGTGTGGATTGGGCCCCTCGGCTGGCAGGTTCTCGTCGGCATTCAGGTAGACGTTGAAGAGCGCCCCCTCCTGGCTCGGCTCCTTCCCGCAGGCCTGGCAGCTGCAGTGCAGGATCTTCTCCACCAGCTTGTCCACACGGGGGATCTCCTCGTTGCTGGGGCAGTCGAGCGTCACCTGGGCGACACCGAGGGGGCACAGGCCCTGTGAAGCCGGACGGGGCGGCCCTCGGCCCCGCCGGCCAGCGGGAACACCAGGACTGGCCCACCTGGGAGGCCGTGCCCCTTCCCGGCCAACACGGCCGTTCCCCTGCGCACCAGCTGGGCGGCATGGATGATGCCCCTTGCTCAGACCTCAGCCCCACAACCCCCTTGGGTTCTTCTAATGAAAACACCTTTAAAAATTCCTGTTTTATGTACTAAACAGTGGAAAATCTGAGGCGCGGGCAGTTCTGAGGGAGCCATATTCTGAGGGAGCCATATTCCAACGAAGATAGGAGGGCAGCCACCCGGAGAAGGGAATTTCTAACACGATGAGAAAATAAAATTTAATACAACCAATTAAGTTTGTATATGTGTATTTAACATTAATGGTCAAGGGCAGAGTGCTGTTCGTTGAATTGATGTTGTTCGTTTTGAAAAATATCCAGAGACTCGGCTCAGGGAGTGGCTTTTTCAGAAAAGCTCATCAATTCTGCCCCTTCGAAAAACGTTCCAACCATCAAAACCATGCCAGGAGGCCTCGTTTCTCTAACCCTAACCCTACCCTGGGGCACATCCCTAACCCTAAAACAGGGGTCAAGTCCCATTGAAAA